TGGGTTTTCTTGGCAAAGATAAGAGAGTGGTTTGCCATTTCCTTCTCCAGCTCATTTTACAGATTAGGAAACTGAGGCAAACAGGGTTGAGTGACTTGCCCAGGGTCACACAGCTGCTAAGTGTCTGAAACTGAATTTCAACTCAGATCTTTCAGACTCCAGGCCTGATACATCACCACTATCTACTGTACTACCTAGCTGCCTCATAAATCTTAAAGTGCTATATAAATGCTAGTTCTTATCACCAATTTATCCTCTATATACCTTGTTTGCATAGAGCGTTTCCTTCCCATTCCCCACCCCCACCCCCAGCTCCTTCTTGGTTTCCCCAGCACTTAGTACAGTGCCAGACAAAGAGAAGGTGCTTAATAAATGCTTGTTGACTGTGACTGTGACCTCTGCCAGCTAACAAAAACCAGGCAGAGCGCACCCAAGCTAAAATAAATTCTTTCCTTTTTTATCCCTGTGTCTCCATGGAGATCAAAGCCTTCTGTTACAGATAATTATCTAATCAAGGGCTAGATACTCTCAGCTACTCCCAAGTTTCCCTCTGGTTTAGCTGTTAATAAATCTGAGGCTGGAGAAGAGGTAAACTAGGCAGGAAAGCTCACTGTTCTTCCCCCACTCTGGCAAAATCCCTGTCTTCATTATGCGTAACAGGAAGAAACAAAGCCTCGATAGCTTCTGTGCTAGTGGAAGAGCCTCAATCTCCTGCAGCTAATTTGGCCCAATTTGTTCCTCTACTTCCCTATTTTTGCCTTTCTTTGTATCCCCAACACTTAGCACAATGCCTGGCACATAGTAGGTGCTTAATCAATGCCTATTGGTGATAATGATATCGACCACATATTTTGTTCCCAGCTTTTTAGTCAGTAAACATTTATTAAGCACCTGCTATGTGCTTGGCACAGTGCACACAGCTGTAGTACATTATTATTTCAAATAATGTTATTATAAACATTTTTGAACATATGGGACTTTTTTTCCTGTTAAGAATTTTTCACTGATGAGAAGTTCTTTCTTCTCTTAAAATATGATCTACTAATTCCTTTGTCCACACCTACTAGTCCCCGCTCTGCTCTTTGGGGCCCAGTAGAATAAATGTGAACCATCTTTCCCATCACAGCCCTTTGAACATCTAATAGAAGATGGTTACTTAGGTCATTTAACCTAAGTTGGGTGTAAACTCTAGAACAGCAGATTTACTCTCTATAAAAGGAACAACCACCTGACAGTTAGAGGTGTACAAAAGAGGAGTATGTTGCCTTGGGTGTAGTGGATTTCCCTTCTGAAGCTAGTCAGATGAGGATGAGGTGATTACTAGGCAGGCCAAATGAAGGGACTTCCAGTGACCAGCTAGTCCAAATCCATATGTGATCAAGAATTCCTTCCTTTCTACAACATACCTGACAACTTGTCTTCTATACTTTGACTTGGTCTTTTCTCAAAGCTGATTAATCACTTGTAAATTTTTATGATCAATCAATCAATTATATTTTTTATTTTATATAGATTTATAGATAATACATTAATTTAAATTATGTATATATGATTAATCCATTGATTTTATTAAGTGTCCCTAGTAAAGCTTTGTGAAAATTAATCCATGCTGTCAGGGAAGAGGGAACATGCGGGTCTAACATGGTGTAGAGGGTAGAGCAAAGTATAGGCTCAATACACTTGAACTACCCAGCCAAGCATTGGAGTGCCCCTTGTGGCCTTTCTTTGAAGCTGCATTGTACTGAGGCAATGAGGAAATGATGTCAAAAGCCTGAGCCTTTAGTCCTGTGAACCAATCAAGTGTCAAAAATATCTCAACACCTTTTCAGGAAAAACTTGCTTAACTTCCATGAGGGGAGAGGTTAGGATCCAGGCAGACCTCATTTTGTTGTGCTTCACAGATATTGCATTTTTTACAAATTGAAGGTTTGTGGCAACTTTGCATCAAGGAAGCCATTTTTCCAATGATGCATGCTCACATCAGTCTCTATGTCACATTTTGGCAATTCTCACAATATTTTAGACTTCCTCAGTATTATTATAGCTGTCATGGTGATCTGGAATCAGTGATCTTTGATGTTACTATTGTAATTGTTTGGGGTGCCACGCACCTTCCCCTATGAGATGGTGAACTTAATCAATAAATATTGTGTGTGTTGTGATGGCTCCACCAACAGGCCATCTCTCTTCCTTCCTTGGGTCCTCCTATTTCCTGAGACACAACAATATTCAAATTAGGCCAGTTAATAACCCTACGATGACCTTTACGTGTTCAAGTGAAAGAGTCAATCGATGGGACAAACTTCATTGTTGTCTAATTTTAAGAAATTGCCACAGTCACTCCAGCCTTTAGCAACCAGCACCCTGCTCAGCCAGCAGCCATCAACATTGAGGCAAGGCCCACAACCAGTAAAAAGATTATGACTCCCTGAAGGCTCAGATGATGGTTAGCAATTTTTTTAGCAATAAAGTATTTTTTAAATAAGGTATGTACATTGTTTTTTAGGCATAATACTATTGCATACTTAATAGACTACAGTATAGTATAAACATAACCTTTATATGCACTGGGAAACCAAAAAATTAACGTGACTCACTTAATTGCAATATTCACTTAATCGCAGTGGTCTGGAACTGAACCCACAGTGTCTCCAAGGTATGCCAATATTGCTCCTACCACACTCCACACCTTGGTGGAAAGGTCCTTATTAAGGTCTTCCAGTTAACCTTCCACCATTAAGATAACTTTAGGGCTGTTACTGGTTAACCCTAACCACCATAATTCAAGAAGGCAGCACTAAATGAGGAAGGGGGAAAACTAAGACAAAAATAGAACCAAAATAATATAAAACAAATGATGTAACTGTTCCCTGAAGGAGTGACTGAATCTGGGAGAATCTCAGGAAGGAGCAGTCCTGGGTCTGAATGATCATGTGTTGAATGATACCACATCTTTCCAGTTCAGTGGGTCTTCGTATGTGAAAAGGTAGCCATAAGCAGGAGGAGCACTAGCAACATGAGGGACATAGCAAAGATGATAGCGCTTCTCGTGTAGTCACTGATCCTCATCACAAAGCAGGGAGAATTGCCCCCATCCATTTAGTGTTTGCCGGCCCACCAGCCAGGACCTCCCCCTCCCTGGGAGCCCTGTAGCGTGTGGCCAACGGGTGTAGGGTGGTGGCATACAGAATCTTTGCCTTATGAGAGGCCTCTGAGGGACTCATCCTCTTTTTCTGTTAGACATTTTCACCCTTTTCTTGTTACCATTTCAAAGCAAGCTTCCTTCTATTGATCCTCTAAGCCCTCCCTCTGGAAGAATTGTACAATGATTGATGGGTGTTGTATTGGCAGGAATATGGAAAGTCCCATCAGTTTTACATTATAGTAAGCAATGAGCTGTGGAGGTGGGGGAGGCTTGCCCTTTGCCACCAAATATACCGTTGAACTCTTTGGACAGTGGGCTACCATTGCTGCTGAAGCTGATCCACTATTTGCTGCCACTGGGGCCCATGTCTCTGGCCACTGCCATGTGTGCCGTTGGGGCCCACATCTCTGCTGCTGCTGTGGTCAGTTGGACCTGCTGCCCCATGGCCAGCACCACTGGGACCCTTGTCTGGACCTGCTTCCCACACCTACACCCATAGCAGGCCTGCATCTCTGCTTGTTGCCCCAGACTACTGCTGCTGGGCTTTATGTCTTGGCCTGCTGCCTTCTCTACCAGGGTTACCTGCTGCCCCCTGAGCTAGCCAAGACGGTTGCCAACTAGGTCGTAAGCTCCTCTTCCTTACTCTGAAATGAAGTGTTTCTGTAGGCCTGAGCACAATTTCAGTGCCGCTACTGGAGCCTGACTCTGCCTGGCCCTCTCCCCGCCCCCCATACAGAAGGTTACCTTGTGACTTGCTCAGAGCCCTGAAATGGGTGTCAGAGGTGGGTCTTTAGCCCAGGTCTTCCAGCTCTCTGGCCATTACTCTATCCTGCTTCTTTCTCTCTTTTTTTAATAAACATTTATTAAGTACCTGTTATGTGCCAGGAGCCGTGCTAAGCACTTTTCAAATATTAGGTATTTGTACTAGGTTTGCATTTTTAATTAAAAAAAAACCAAACTCAATTACCTTCATATTCTAGAAAAATGGTGAGACAGATAAACAACAGCCTCAGAAAGACAAGAGCCTGGTTTTTTAGGTTGGTACTTGATTCCTGTCTGAGATAAGATAATAATAAAGGCACAATCTGCTTTTTGAAAATGGAACTGGAAGCAGAAGAGAAACTGATCTGGGGGTCGAATAAAGAATTTGGGCTGTTTTCTAGCTCTTCCAGTCACCTGAGCTTCCAAGAAGTCAGAAGGGGAAAAGAAGGGAACAAGCATTCATTAAACACCTCCTAGGCACTGGGAACTGTAAACGTATCATTTGAAACACCAAGTGATGCTGGCCTCTTTGCTATTCCTTGCACAAGACTCTTCCTTGCCTGACTCGTAGCATTTTTACTGACTGTCTCCTATGCCTGGAAGGCTCTTCTTCCTAGCTTTCTCCTTCTGGCTTCCTGGGTTTCCTCCAAGTCTCAGCTCAAATCTCACCATCTGTAAGAAGCCTTTCCTAGTTCTCCGTAATGCCAGTGCGTTTTCTCTGAGACCACCTCCAATTTATCCTGTGTATATCGTTTGTACCTAGGGTTGGTTTTTTTTTTTCATATTGTCTCTCCTATTAGACTGAGAGCTCCTCGAGAGCAGGGACTGTTTGGGATTTTTGGCCTCTATTTGTATCCCCAGCACAGTGCCTAAAGCAAAGTAGGTGCTTAATAAATGCTTGGGAGCCAAGATGGTGGAGTACAAGCAACAACTCAGCTGAACTCTTTCAACATTCCCCTCCAAACAAATTTAAAATAAGGCCTCAGATTGAATTCTGGAGTAGCAGAACCAACAAAAGGTCGGGGTGAGACATTTTTCCAGCTCAAGGAAACTTAGAAGATCAGTAGGAGGGGTCTTTGACACCCTGTAGGGGTCAGCCCCAGTACACACCAAGGTAACACCAGCAGTAGGCCTTGGAGGGGGCTGCATTAGCAGCAGCAGCAGCAGCTTCAGGAGCTTTCAGTTCATCGACAGTAAGGGGCTTGGACAAGTGGTCAGAAAAAGATCACAGGGGACGTTTTGCTGGCACTGGGTGCAGGACCCTGCTGCATTGCCTATACCAATTCCAGGTCATAGTTCCAAGGCCAAGAAGAATGAATAATGATAGCACTTATGGCTTCAGGAAAGCAGGGGTGCTGGTCACAGGTCCAGGGTGAAGAAGAATGTTTGTGGTCATTCACAAGGGAGCTGGGTCTCAGTTCCAAGACACAAAGAACTAGCTCTTGCTGCTGCAGGAGAGTAGGGGATTTGGTCATAGTTCCAGGGCCAAGAGGAGAGCTAGCACTGGTGGATGCAGGGGAGCAAGGGCTTTTCCTGGGTAAAGACCAGAGCGTAGGCCAAGAGAGCAGTGACCACATTTCTCCTTGGATCATACGACCTTGGAAGCATCAAAAACATACAGACCCCCCAGAATTAGTTCTGAATACAGCAGCGTGAAAAACTTAAAGCTTGGGACAGTGCCCCCTCCACCTAAGGAGCAGAGTCCAACTTTAACATAAAGTTAAAAGTGAAGAAATAGGCTGGGGAAATGAGCAAATAATGAAAAAGAAACTGATCCAAAAAAGCTGCTAGGGTGAAAGAGAAGATCAAGGTACAAACTCAGAAGAAGACATTGACAGCAAAATAGCCACAAGCAAAGCCTCAAAAAAAAAAATGTAAATTAGCCAAAACCCAACAAGAATTCCTGCAAGAGCTCAAAAACGATTTTAAAACTCAAGTGAGGTTGAGGAAAAATTGGGAAAAGAAAAGAGAGTGACTTAAGAAAATTAGGAAAAGAGAGTCAACAGCTTGGTAAGGGAGACACAAAAAATAGTAAAGGCAATAACACTTTAAAAACAGAATTGATCAAATGATAAAAGAGGCTCAAAAATTCACTGAAGAGAAGAAATCCTTAAAAAGCAAAATTGGCCAAATGGAATAAGAGGTACAAAAGCTCACCAAAAAAAAAAATTCCTTAAAAATTAGAATTGGGCAAGTGGAAGATAATGGCTCCATGAGACATCAAGAAACAAAACAAAGTTTAAAAAAATGAAAAAAAGGAAAATATTGTGTATCTCATAAAAAAAACTGACTTGGAAATATATTGAGGAGAGAGAATGCAAGAATTACTGGACTACCTGAAAGCCATGATTAAAGAAAAAGAGCCTAGATATCATATTTTAAGAAATTATCAAGGAAAACTGCTCTGATATTTTAGATCCAGAGGGTAAAATAAAAATTGAACAAATCCACTGATCACCTCCCAAAACAGATCCCAAAATGAAAACTCCCAAGAATATTATAGCTAAATTCCAGGTCAAGGATAGGTCCTAGATCAAGAAGAAAATATTGCAAGCAGCCAGAAAAAAACCATTCAAATATCATGGAGCCAAAGTCAGAATCACACATGATTAAGCAGCTTCTGCATTAAAGGAATGGAAGACTTGGAATATGATATTACAGAAGACAAAGGAACTAGGATAACAACCAAGAATCATCTATCCAGTAAACCTGAGAATAATCCTTCAGGGGGAAAATGGATATTCAATAAAATAGAGGATTTTCAAGCATTCCTGATGAAAAGACCAGAGTGAAACAGAAGATTTAATGTTCAAATACAGAACTTAAAAGAAGCATAAAAGGGTAAACATGAAAGAGAAATCATTAGGGAGTCAATAAGGTTAAACTGTTTACATTTTTATATGGAAAGATGATACATGTTCTAAGAATGTTGTAATGATTAAAGCAATTAGAAGGAGTATTGTTAGACAGAAGGCACAGGTGTGAGTTGACTTTGATGGAATGATCTCAAAAAGGAGTGAGAAAGAAGGGTGTTCTGGGAGAAGGGGGAAGGGAGAGGAAGAACAGGGGGGTAAAATATCTTGCATAAAATAGACATGCAAAGATGAGTTTTTGCCACCCCTGGCAGGCAACATTTGAACCTCACTCTCATCAGAATTGGTTCAAAGAGGAAATAATATATGCACTCAGTTGGGTATAGAAATCTATCTTACCCAACAGGGCAGTTGGAGGGGGGCATGGAGAAGAGAAGGTAGAGGGCTGATAGAAGGGAGAATGGATTAAGGGAGAAAGTGGTTAGAAGCAAAATAGACTTTTGAGGAGG